GTATTGGAGGTATTGGCAGAAATCTGATTAGCCTACCATTTGATTTACCATTTAGTTTTTCTCCAAAACACCTTAATGCTATGGGAAACACAAAGCAAATTATCCTGAGGAAGAGCTGCCTGAAACCAAGGTTTGTGTTATTGTTTTTACTGAAGGTTGTGCCATTTCATTTATCTCTGTCAAACTTCAGACAGTTTAATATTGTGTTTCAACTTTCTGAAAACACTCATTATTCATTCCAATGCCAAATCAAATTTAGATCCTCATTCTGTCTCAGTTACTTGCATGCATTTAAAAAAAGCAAAACAAAAGTCTTCATGACATCATGTTGTTGCTTTGCATAATTAACCTCATTAGGAAGCAAATGTTAAATGAAACTTTTTTGTTTAATCGCTGCAAGACAGAAGAGCCGTAATTATGGTGATTACCACACACTTAAAATGGCATAATGGTAATAATAAGTGAAGTCTTCTTCCTTTTATTTCCACATCAAAACATTAGTTTTCTTAAAGCTGTTTTTTTTTCATATCTTATAAAAAAAAATCCTTCTTTCACACAAACCGCAGTAATACAGTAAGCAAATCCCACCAAGCACTTGAGAAAATGTGATTGAAATAAAATAGCTAAGTGATCCCCTGAGCCCATAGTGTGTCATCAAATGTCATGAACAAAACAGAAACTGATGATGTCGTTTCCCCCCCTCCTCATTCTCTCCTTGTTCTTGTGGTGTCTGCTTTTCTGCATCGGCAGGGTTATTTGATCTGATAATGGTTAAACCAGTTGGACAGAAGAGTTTGGGCCTTTCCTCTCCTAATCATAGCTGCCTTTCTACCAACCTGTTGTTTTGCACGTAAGCTAGAGCCAATATCTCCCAAACACTCAAGTCCCACATGAGAGTTCCTTGTTGTAATGTGTTTACGTATAGCTCCCCATGAGATTATTTATCCTCCACCTCTTTGTTTATGTCCCTTTAATTTGCATTTTTCCTCACCATTTCGCTCAATAAACATGTGTCCACACACATGGCTGCTGCATAGAAGAATAGAAAAAATCTCTGCTGGATTTGTAACAAATACAGTAGATTACTCCCATAAGGAGAAACATTAACTAATTTAATCCAAACAACTTGCACCTAATTTAACATGTTAATAACTTTTGTGGCCCTTTGGACATATAATATATGAAATCAGCTTTTCTTTTCTTATTCTGACCCAAAGAAAAATTTGTGCGGCTTTCTGCTGTGTACTGGCAGTTGCTGAACGCTGTCACTAACAACTTGTAATATAATTCTGGCTTTGGCATCTGGGTTGTCTGTGGAGAAATACATGTAAAAGCCAGATCCTGTTTTATACCACATAATGTCTGCTGCACCCTTCTGCCAAATTAAGGAAAACATTTATACATCTGGGACAAGGCAAAGACAAACATAAGTCTTTTTATTTGTATAAGATATGTCCCACTATGACTTGAATTACAGATTGATTGAAGTTTAATCTAAAATATTTGATTTTCTGATCATGTGTTGTAATTATATTTTTCTTTTTGCATTTATTCATTCAAATCTTTTGACATATAATTATATAACTTCACAGATAACTTGGCAGCACTGATGCTGTTGGTGAGGCTAGAAAAATATTGGGTAAACATTTAAATTTGAAAATGACAGATGGAAGAACACCAAGCGGAAAAGTGGAAAAAATGTTCGACAAATTATTGTAGAAATTATCAGAGGGCAGAGAAAAAGGAAAATGGATTTAGAATTTGACCAGATTTGAGCAGAACATTGATAATTATAGCTTTATTTTTTTTTATTGCCTAAAATTTTGTAGATTGTATTTCTTTGTTCCTTTCAATAAAACAATGCCTGCCTTAAAACAGCCAGATCACTTTTTCTAAATCCAAAACAAATATATAAATATCATAAACTATGCATAGCAATTAAATATTTAATCATTTTCAAAAGTTCTTTTCAGTTATAATTGATTGGATGCCCTGCAGACTCTAACTAAATAGACATCTCTTTTTCCCACCCCATGCATGTAGCTGTTGCAGAACTGGACAGCTCCTTCAGTGACAGACTGCTGCGCCCTAAATGCACCAGGGAGCGTTATCACACATCCTTCCTCCCAGCAGCTGTAAGTCTTTATAACCACCACTGCTCCCAACAACCTACATACAGTTTCTATCTTAGTCAGATAAATAACATGCTGCTGTCCTTTTGCACATCTCTGATGTTGCTGCTATTTTCAAATATCCATTACTCTAAAAATGTCCATAGCTGTAAATTGGTTATTTATTCCCCAGGTGCACAGTATTTATATTATTAAAACACTTCTTCATTTAACTCTTTTAACTCTTGACTATGTTATTCTTATAAATTTTTCAAAGGTCCACATTTGTTTGACAGTTCTTTCTATAATCTTTTTGCTGCTGTAAAAAACAATTTCCCCATTGTGGGACATAAAGGGATTTTCTCTTCTATTCTATAAAATGGCCGTAAAATACAGTACACTACTGCCCCCTCAGGCTTAAAAGAGCCAGTACAACCAACCCACTGGTTTCTGTACATCTCTCTGGTGTGATTTACACATTAGTGCAACAATCATCATGGGTTTTGTCTTATCTGCCCACATGGGAACAGAACATTGGGTACTGCTTACCTACACGGCGCCTCAAATGTAATTAACCACTCTTTGAAACAATCACTTCTAATACTCACTGACACACAAATCTCCAATTCCTTTTTTTTACCATTCCTTAATGGACACTGCAGAGACGTCCTCCTTGACCTGTTTTTCTTAAGGCCCCACATCCTCTTTTGGATGTTAGAAAGGGATGTCGCGACGTTCTGCAACCATATGTGCATTTGAACTTAATGACTCTAGTAATAGAGGGGAGGGGAGCATGGTGAAAGAAACAGATTTTGTTATTTGCTGGCCTGTGAAATCCTGAGCTTTGTTGTGTCCTCATCTTTATTGTAAATGTTCAAACACAAATTGAAGGAACAATGGGGGAAGCATGTATATTTATCACGACCTCAACAGCAAACATCAGAAAACAATTAGGAGAAAAACATTTAATAGGTTAAATTAACACACAGAGATTTCAACATCTGCTTGTGGAAGAATTTTATGCAAAATTGTAAAATTATGATTTCTCAGTGCACTTTTAAAGGAACCTTTAATTAAGACATAAAAAAGCTTCTACAATTAAAAAAATAGAAAGCATTGGATTGAAAAAGTCAGTATTTTCTCTTTCATATATAAATGTTCCTCCCTCCCTGGTTGGCGTCAAACTGACGACACTCCAGACAACAAATAAATGAACGCCCTAAACGACACCCTCTGTCAATCGCAGGGCTCAGGACAGTAGAACATAGCAGAGGGGTGAGTATAAAATTAATAATGTAAGAACTCTGTACATATATTTTATTTGAATCGTGTTAAATAATCTTTTATCAAAGATTAACATAAAAAATGTACTAAAACGAAATTTGGTTCAGGCTTGGAAAGCCTATCTGAATTATTCTAAACGCTAAACTAAAGATTTTTTTATTTATTTATAAAAATTTACATTGAGTAAAGTTACCTTTATCAGACATTGAAAAAAATAAAATAAATAAAGGTTGTTGGGTTTTCTCACAAACCAAAAACGCTGCTTTTTTTAACCTGATATGAATTTAAACTTTTATTTCTCTTCTAAGCCATTTTTAGCGATTATTAGTATTAACCTGTTTAGGATGATATATGCGTATAGCCATTCTCATTGTAGAGCAAAATTTTAAAGACAACTACATTAATGTTGCATATAATTAATTAATTTAATACATTTTGAATACCTTTTACTACCCCTTATATGTCCAGCATGGGAGTAATTTAACTACATGCAGATGACTTAAGCTACTTTCCTGTCGACTTGTGTTTTCTACGTTTTCAAATCCGAAATATTACTTCATAAGATTGTGTTTGTTCATTTGAATTCCAAAATATATGCTTGAAGAAACAAAGTTAAAACTAAATCTGCAATCTCAGAGGAAAAGCTTATTTATTAAAAGCTTCACCTAGTTTGATTAGTCCCATAGGAGAGTGACCTGCCTGAGGTGAGGCTTGTAGCAGAGGAAGGTTGGATACACCATCCGCAGAGGGACCAAGGCTTAAAAAGGTTTACAGTCAACCAGAACAGTCCCCCTGATGGCCAGCATCACCCACTCTCGTCTAAAAAGTCCATGACTGAAGGCAGCTCAGGTGTAACGACTTCAGAGTCTCATTTTCATTCTGTGTGCAAAGCAGCTAATCAGAGATTCAGCAGTTTTGAAGCTTCAACGGAAATCTGCAGAGAAGCCTGTCGTCTTTATTATAGGAAAAGATAGAAAATGAGGCCAAAGCTTGGAGCTCATATGTAAAATCTTTTCATCGATTCAGACCTATTTGATTTATTTCTCATTTTACCAGCCCTTCTTCAGAAATAGCTTTAGAAACAATAGGATTTGGCATCTGACCTTTATCCAAGATCGTCTATTGTCTGTCCGTAAAGTATGACCTTTGCTGGTTTAATCCAAGAGTTGGTGCTCTTTTATTCTCCTATGAAAGGGTGGTGCCAGTAGAAGGAGTCTCTTAAGTGTTTTAGACCTCCACTCGTTCTGGGACTCACGTTTCCCAGAGGAGAGCCCACACAGACACAATAACAAGATAACAGCCTGAGGAGAGGTCCTGTTGGTTTTTCTAACATGTTTTTACTGTTTGACAGCTGCCCCTGCAGCCACTTTGTTCCTGCTGAGATTCAACTTCTCAGAGAGCCTAACCCAAGGGGCTGAAAAAGAACAACATGTTTGATATGACAGTTTGGAGTTTTGTTCAGCTAATAAATGGTGTAGAAAATAAAAAAAAGTATATAAAGTATAACAAATTCCGGCTTTTGAGGAAATATTGTCGTCTTTTTCTGTTGCTATAATAAGTGAACAACGATCATGGCTTCTGTCCCTTCTTTCCTTTCAGATTAATTGTTTATACTGATGAACATGGACAGCACCTTTGCACTGAACTCGACCTCTGTTCCTGCACAACTCCCCCTCAACACCACAGTTCGTTTTAACACCTCTCTCAAATCCTTCAGCGTGTTCGATGGCTGCGAGAAATACTTCGAGGCAATTCTGTTTGACCTTACCTTACAGAGCATCAATGTAATTATAGGAATCCCTGCAAATCTGCTTGTTATTGCGATTCTTATACACAATCGCAAAGAACCCTCCACTTCAGACTTGTACCTGGGCTGTTTGGCCTTCATGGATGTCTACTTTGGCAGCATGACCCCACTCAGCTTCTTAAACCTTTACGTCTGGCATAGCAAAGAGGTGTGGGAAGCTATTAAGTTTTCCTTTGGTGTAAAAGATACCAGTGGCCCCCTGTTTCTCTCATGTATCTGCTTGGATCGATTTATAGCAGTGCTTTTTCCAATCACGTTTGGGCAGCTGAAACCGATCAAGTACAGGATAAGCCTCACCATGGTCGTACTCTGCCTCACCTTTGCTTACTCTACAGCTAAGATGGTGGGCGGTCTGCCCAACTTTGAGAAGGTGTTCACTGGGGAAGTCCTCGCAGCTTTTGCCTGGATGGTGGTGTGTAATGCAAGCATCTTATGGGTACTGAAGAAATCCCGTGGTGCTGGGAAGGATGACATTCATCCAATGAAGAAGAAGGCTTTCAAGATGGTGCTGTCCATCCTCTGTATTATTGTGTTCAACTATTTACCACTTGTTGCACTTTTCCCATTTGAAGACCATTACACACCTGATGTGTTTCGTTGCTATGTGCAGCCTGTGGGCTTTGCTTTTCTGAACATTAGCAGCACTATCCAACCACTTGTTTATCTGTCCCGTCTGGATAAGCTTCCTTTCCTCCCTGATTCTTGTATTAAGAAGTTCACTTCCTGCTTCACCCCAGAAATAAATAAAAACACCTCTGCACAAGCAACATCTAGTTAGATTAGCATGATTACCTTGTTACCTTATTTTAAGTGCAGAATATTATATTATGAAGAAAAAATTTTAAATTTTTTCTTTGTGAAAATGTCTATGGTTTAAATTGTGTTTTCATGCAAAAGGGAAAAAAGCATGTTCATATATCTGTAAAACGTGTAATTATAACAATAGTATTATTTTAGCAATTACAGATGGTTTTTCTAACGACTTTAAAATTATATCTAATGTAATCGGAGATGAAGTAAATTGTTTGAATTTGGCGACATCTTCTGTCTAAAAAAATAAACTATGTACTGCAAAACTGATCATTGACATGATGCTTATAAAACAGTTAATTTAACCTTGATTGTTCAGCTAAATGTATCTGCGCCTCATTGTATAGTACTTTCCATAAAAATATACTGTTAGTAATGTGAGCATTCATTAAGGATTTATTTTTGTTCATTTTTATTTATACATTTATGTATTTAATTATATTATATTATCTTTTTATATATATATATATATATATAAATTGATTTGGATATGGCTTAATCTATGGTTGTATTTTTTAAATTGCATTTAGAATATTATTTGCTCCATCAAAAAATATCTAAAATTATGCACACTAAAACTATAGCACTTAGATTTTTTTTATTTATTATTATTATTTATAAAATATTGACCTATCCAGGTTCAAGTGTATCTATTTTAAAAACTAAAAATCCATTTGCAACCATAGAGCTGCAGGTCTTAGATCACTGGTCTAAACACCAATTCATATTCATTCATATTTAATCATTTGTGCTGCCTTTTCTTTCTTAAACTGACCTTCAGTTTAATTTTAGTCAGTAGAGCTTGCACTTGCACAGAGATAAAACAAACATGGACAACCATTATTCCAAGATGTATTAACTAGAATGTTGTTTAAAACCATGAGATAAGATGAACGTGGATGGAATAGTAAACACAGAGAGTGGGGTATGTGCTAACAGCCCAAAAGTTGTTTGATTAAATATAAAATAATATAAATGTTTACAACTACCCAACAAAGATTTTCAAGCTTTTAGATGTTTAACAACTAACTCATATGACTTTCATCGGTTAAGTATAAGCTCTATTATACAGGGCCTTAAAAGCCATGTAAAATAGATTCATATTTAAATTTGTATTTATAAAGCCATTTCAAGACATAGATCATAAACTGATATCAAAGCATTTGCAAATGCAAAAGTTTTAAATACATTCTTTGATGCTCCGCAGAGTTCAATGGCCCAGATTGCAGTGTCAAATAACTGTTGAGAAAGCTCTCTTTAACCAGAACTTTGTGGTTTATCATCTCAGCTGAGAGAAGAACCTTGATGCTTTAACTGGTGTGTGGATTTGTAATCAGCCGCCTTTATTTGGATACCACTAAATAAAAGTATGTGCAAAACAAGTTCCACTGTTGAGAAGGAAAACCTTTGGAAGACAGTGGTGTGGCTGCATGTTGCAGAAAAGTAACACTGCACAACCACACAATCCTCTAGGTAGATCACGGTGGCAGCATCATGCTGTGGGGATGGTTTTATTCCACAGGCTTAAGGAATCTGGTTAGAAAACAAAAGGTGTTGGTTGAAGGTTTGGCTTTCAGCAGGTGTGATGATAGCAAAAGGTTGTTCCACTAAGTAATGAATTAGGGGCGCTCTTAGGGGGCAAATGATTTTACATTATTTAAAAGTCTTCTATTTTCAATGAAACATGTTTGTTTTTGTAAAATAGACTACTTTAGGATAATTGAATAATTACTTAGTCCTGCTGGCATTTATTTGGTAGGGTGGTGCCTGTTGAAGTCAATAACAAGGGTTTCTGTTGCAACACCTCCCCATGATTCATTGATTGGCTGATGAAGATTCTCAGTAATCCAGGTCATAGACATTCAAATGTCAGACATTTGAATTGAGAAAGCTTCCTGGAGAGGTAGCAAAACGTCTTCAAATCTTGGAAACCAAGTCCAGTGGATTGTTTTTTAAACTTTTACGGAAATTGATTGGCAGAGAGAAGAAATTCACAATTAAACAGAAGTCAGAGTTAAAATTCAATAATTTATTGGTAATGGCAATGCATTTACCTCATCCACTTTAAAGATACACTCTCCCTACCCCCCGATCAGCCTTTGCCATAAACACCTTAAGAGAGCTGGAACCTCCCTCAAACCAAAACCTCCATATATATCATAAAACATCCTGGCACAATAAAGGGAGTTTGTTATTCTCTGCTTCAGCAGCTCAAGCCAGTTTAAACTAGATCAGTGCACCTTATTATCTTCAAGGCCAAATCTGTCCCTCAAGCTAAAAGCAAAACTGTGCAGTACTCAACAGAAATCCCATAACTCCATAATTCTGTAAAGACAGTTATGATTGCATATTTGCCATTAATCATTATAATTTAATACTTTTATTTTCCCGCATGACTAAACGTTTTTTTTTTTTTTTTTTTTATCAAAATTTGTTAGATTTGAGAGGAGAGGTTTTGTAGGATCCAAAACATTGAGGGTTTTGTGCTTAAATGTGCAGGATTTGAATCGGGGCCCCTGAAGCATGAAGGCAGACCTTTAGAAACGTGGTTCTGCCAGATCAGGGAAACTATTACTGCTGCAGCACCGTGATGATTACCTTCTCTGGCATTATTCTCAGAGGTTTAGTGCTCTGTGTATAGAAATATGGTAATAAAGGCTCTGTGAACGTCTGTGTAAATTCATACAGTAGAGAATGGTCCACAGGGTCAGAAAATGAAACCGTTCCCTTGCTGCAATCCAGCTGGACTTTGACCTGCTCTGGCTTACTCTTAACAGTAAGCAGGGTGGGCGGCGAGCTCATTGCCCTGAGCTCTCCCTCCCGGAAGCATATAGTCCAAAAGCCGTTTTCAGGCCGAGCTGCAACTTCAGTGTTCCTCGGCGCAGACAATGAGGCCACACCCAGGAGCCAGTCTTTATTACTTCCTGTTTCCACAATCCAGTGGTGGCTTCCTGAGCCGAGCGAGGACATGCCTACCACCTCTGCACTCACATGGAAGCGCTCAGGGTTGTCATGGCAACAACTGGGCTGCTTTGAGTAGTGGAGGGAAGTGAGGTCTTCAGATAGGATGAGGCATGGGTGTGCTGTGCTCGGGTCTAAAATTACAGGACCTAAAAAGCAGGAGTTTTTCCATAGATTGATAATGACTTGGTAACAATCGTTTAGGGTGGATAGTTCTTTTATAATAGGTGATAAATATAGCCCACTTACTGTAGCCAACATTGTCCAATATTTTCTCCAGTACTCTGTATTTCAAGTTGGAGAGATGTTTAGTCACATCTATCAGTAAGCCGGACATATCATCTAAACCATCGACTGATCCTCTATCCCTGTGATAAAAACAGCAATAATCAAAATATAAAGAGTAAGATAAATTGATTATTTAAAAAATATTAGCAACTAACCTGTCCTGAGTGGCTTTAAAATTCTGGGGGGAAAAATAAGAGAAAACATGAAAAGTAAGTCAGTTTTTAATGTTTTAACCAAAAAAGTACACACCTTCAACAGATTCAGATCATCTTCTTTCAGTTGCTTTTCGACGGCAGACATTGTCTCAGTGACAGAAAGCATTTCAGCTGAAAGTTTATTCATTTTTTCTTTAACTGCTGTGATCCTCTCCTCTTCCTCCTTCTTTACAGCTTCGGTTCTTGCTGATTCTTCATCGTGGAGGGCTTGATGTAGCTGCTCAAACTGACTTTTTATCTTCCTTTGAGTTTCCAGTGTCTGATACTGTCAGAAGACAATCAAAAACATGCTTTAATGGGGTTTTCTTCATTATACAAATAATTATTGCCTCTGTTACACCATGTATTACCTTAATGTATGTGGACATATCAGCAGAGGTTCTGTACAACATTTTTAGGCTTTCCATTTTGCTTTGCAAGCTTTTAAGAAACAACTCAAGTTTGTTCTGGAAGTCAAGCATATCTAATCAGTAGACAATTACTTTGTTGTTGTTTTTTTGTTTTTTTTGCTTTTGTCTCTTTCTGATCTGTACATACAAATCAAGACTGACTTGTTGAACAGCATTCAGCCTTCCCTGCCCAGGAGCAGTGTTATTTTTCTTACCTTGCAGTCCAGAAATGCCTCCTCAACAGGGGAACAGTCATGATTTTTATGGAGTTTGGAACCTTGGCACACCACACAGATAGGCTGTTCGTCATTTAGACAAAAGAGCTTCAACTTCTCCCCATGCAAGCTGCACCTTAAATGCTCCTCCTGGGTGATTTGCCTCCTCACCTGCTGGAGAGCCTCACATACATTTTTCAGTGCCAAATTGGACGGAGGTGGGGATTTGGAAGCCTTCCTTCTGCAAACAGGACATTCCCGTACCCTCGTGTCCCAGCATTGCTTCAAGCAGCTCCTGCAGAAACTGTGGCTGCAGGACAGCAGAACGGGGTCCCTGAAGATGTCAAAGCACACTGGACATGTCAGATCTTCCTCTGGGAGAGACATGATTGTTAGTTTACATATATAAAAGATGCTCGAATTAAAAGAGGAAGTTCATCAGGGTTGGTTCATCCATCAGCGGTAACCACAAATGCCCTCCTGAAGTCTTAGAGTGCAGTAACTGCGAGCTGATCCATTGTTCTTAATGAGAAAAAGCAAATGGTCCTGGTTTTCCTGTGCATGGCTTCCGTGGGTGTAACATTATTTATGCAACAGTGTGAGAAAAGCCCTGAATGTAGAATCGTTGGCATACAGGAAATGAACCCTCATTGGTCAGCTAAAAGGGAACTTAAAACTGGTAGGTTACTCCCTAGAAAGATGGAATGTGGTCTTTCAGGACATACATTTAAATATTTCAGCACTGACATCTATGTCAATTCTTTACAGCTGCACAACAACAAACTTCTTTAAACAACTGGGGCTTTAATAGTTTCCTTTGGCAAAGTATTATTAAATTAGAGGACATAGAGGTAAAAGTGGTGAAACTATTTGAATCTATAGTTGAATTTAGAGACTGTTATTAAACTGACTAACGTTAACGTAGCCTTAGGGAAGTGACATTTTGAACTCTTGAAAGTAGGAAATATACAGAGGCAGCTGCAGTGTTGTTTTCCTGCAAATCTTTTGGAATTTCATCAGACCATAAGACATTGCTGAACAAAGTTCTAGAATGTTTTAGCCAGGCCTGCATGTTTTGTTTTTTTTTTTTTTTTTTTAAGTAAGAAATTTGGTCTTTATACCTTCAGGTGAAGATTCTCAGTCATTGAGGTCATAGTCATTATAAAAAAGGTCAAGAAGTTAAAAAACAAACCACAAACAACCACACAAACAACCACAAACAAGACCACAAGACAAACAAGTTTTCCAAGTTTCAAGACGTTTTACTTCCCATCCAGGAAGCTTTTTCAATCCAAAATGTCTGGATTAGCGTTGACTTCTAAGCTTTTTAAAGTAGCCCAGCAAAGCCTTGTTAAGGCTTAGAAAACATGCAAACCGAAAGAACAGGTCCACCCCTTAGTAATGGGGAGTCATTATGCTGCTAATTTACTGCATTTTCTTGCCTTTTTTTTTTTTTTGCTCAAAAAACATTTTAATTTCCAGTATTATTTTTAGTATAAAGATCAAATTAAAGATAGAAAAATCTTTGAAATAATTCATCATTTCATTTTTACGTCACATAAGCTATGAATTGGGAGAAAGGATTGAGATTCAGTGTATTTCAGACTTTAATCTAAAACTAAGAGTCTATTGTTCATTCCTGTTTAATTTCTCTTTAATCTTTTTTTTAAAGAACTGCAACTAAAGAAAGGTTGGTGGAAGAAAACATTTTTTTTAAAAAGGAAGCATTTGGTTTGAAAGTGTTAAAAGAGAGAATGGAAGTGCGGGTAAACCAGATTGTCTGTGTATTTTATTTTAGACTTATCTCCTTTAAAGGGTTAAGTTCAAATAATGACATACTTTGCCTTCAGGCAGCCACTTGTCCTCGCATCTTTTTACAGAGCTTCAGAACAATAGCTTCCCAGACCTTTTGAAAACCTTGCGCAGGCCTAACTCTCTTAGCTGTTCTTATATTTTACCAAAAACAACAGAAACAAATAAACTAATTTCATTCATGCTTTGGATGCATTTATTTTGTGCAGTACATCAAAGTGTAATTAAGATGTTGTATTGATGAAGGAAAATGTTTGGCATCAATATGAAATGTGAAATGATTCCCAGATCTTTGCTGCACATCATCCACAAAGCTGCAGATTAAATATCACCTCTAAAGTCTTTATTCTTTGGATTTGCTCAACGTGGGTGTTGTATTCATAACTTCATAAATGCCTGCATGCATTTATCTAATTAAATGCCAAACATGAGCAGTTATTTTGACTTCCTCCTCATGCCTGCATTCTGGTTTGGGGTCAGTATTTATTAGAGGAGTGATGCATACCCCTATGAAGGACCAACTCTGCCATATTTAAAAATAAATACAGAAATAAATAAATGCTCAATAAATGTATAAGCATACAATTAATTGCCAACAAAAAAGTGAGACATAAATGTATATAACTCTTAATTAGCTGCTTTATTTATTTGCCTTTGTAATATTTACCTTATTTATTTTTCTGTCCTTTATAATCTTCAACTTTATTTTTTAATTACTTATATTTTTAAGTATTTATTTATGTGCATGTTATTATATTTTTGTCTGTTTTATTCTTCCTTTGTATTTTTTTTACCTTAGTTATTTCTTCGCCGCTGTTTATTTCTCTCTGCCCATTTTACATTTCTCTATGCATTTCTATGTCATTATGCAAATGAGGAGGGGGTGTGTCCTAGAGAGTCAACTTCTGCTCATTGGTTGGCTTGGCGGTCCATCTTCTTAACTCACAGAGCTCAGAGTACTAAGTTAAATGTTCTCTTTTCTGTTGCTGTTGTTCAATAAAAGTACGTTTTAAGATCATTTGAGGCGAGAACCTTATACTTTTAAGCATCACCATATGGCCCATTCACAGATTTAATGCGTAATTTAAAAGAAAATGTGACGAACTTGAGAGGACCGTGGCAACCAGCGGAGCTCCGAAGCTGACGGCAGCCAGGTCTATAGCCAGGCTATGATGGCGATTTTTTGTTGTATTTGGCAAAGTTTGGCAAAGTCCCTACTCAAGTTCTGACTTCAGACTCGACATCACACTCTCCTCCTGTAGATTCGACCGATGTAGTAAAATGCTAACCAACACGCTTCACACACGGCTATGCCGAGAGAGGGCCGCTGCAGATGGGCTGTGGTCGGACCTGGCTGCCGTCCGCTTCGGAGCTCCGCTGGTGCCGCGGTCCTCTCAAGTTCGTCACATTTTCTTTTAAATTACGCATTAAATCTGTGAATGGGCCATATGGTGATGCTTAAAAGTATAATATTCTCGCCTCAAATGATCTTAAAACGTACTTTTATTGAACAACAGCAACAGAAAAGAGAACATTTAACTTAGTACTCTGAGCTCTGTGAGTTAAGAAGATGGACCGCCAAGCCAACCAATGAGCAGAAGTTGACTCTCTAGGACACACCCCCTCCTCATTTGCATAATGAGATAGAAATGCATAGAGAAATGTAAAAAGGGCATAGAGGAATGTAAAAAGGGCATAGAGGAATGTAAAAAGGGCAGAGAGAAAAAAACAGCGGCGAAGAAATAACTAAGGTAAAAAAATACAATGGAAGAATAAAACAGACAAAAATATAATAACATGCACATGAATAAATACTTAAAAATATAAGTAATTAAAAAATAAAGTTGAAGATTATAAAGGACAGAAAAATAAATAAGGTAAATATTACAAAGGCAAATAAATAAAGAAGCTAATTAAGAGTTATATACATTTATGTCTCACTTTTTTGTTGGCAATTAATTGTATGCTTATACATTTATTGAGCATTTATTTATTTCTGTATTTATTTTTAAATATGGCAGAGTTGGTCCTTCATATACCCCCTCTCACCCTATCCGCCATTTCCACGGGGGCCAGGCTCCTCCCACCCATCTCTCCTCCGGTCTTTTGGTTACCATGGCGATGACGTCAGGTTGCACCACCGATTCAGGCCAGTAGAGACAATCTTAAAGGCGGCGCATCAAATCCTGCAGAATAATCATCCGCAGCTGCGCAGCAGGGACCCAGCATCACGTCTCTCTCGGCCGCTCAGATTCCCAGCTCCTCTTCGACCATCCTTTTATCTCTCTGTCAAAATGCGCGAAATTGTGCACCTGCAGGCCGGCCAGTGCGGAAACCAGATTGGAGCAAAGGTAGTTCTTGCAGCGCTTATATGTTCTTTTTTTCTTCCTTGCATTGTGGAAAGATCACATAAATGCGTCGTCGGGCACTAATCCATCCTCTCGGAATCTTCTAGAAGGAACCGAGTTCGGTTAGATATCGCGATCAGATTGTTGCTTTGCACAGAAAGGGTCAAATTCAACTTGCACTAATCTGCAAACCGACTGAAAGATATGTAGTGCAGAACATCCACTGTTATTTTATATAAAAAAAATAAAATGTACTATATTTTCTCATAAATGCATTCAAAATAATATTTATAAATATATTATCCTTTATGTTGCATCAAAGTTTAATTAAAAGCAGACCGTTTGTGGTGAAACCTTATTGTTGATGAAGAAGCTGACTCCCATCCCCCCCTCATTTCTGACCTATTTCTATCAAACCATTTTCAGTCTAATCTTTCTGCCTTGAGCAATCATAATTAGATTGTTATACTTTTAATATAACATTGAATATATGTTGGAATTTATTTATAAAATCTCCAAAATGACATTTGGCTATCATATGCTTGATGGTTGTTTGTTTTTCTTTTTTTTTTTTTTTATAATCTATTTGCTTTTTATAAGCTTGTATTTTTGAAAATGCTGCCTGGTTTATGCATGTATTTCATGGCAGTAGGAGAATGTGAAGTCTGCTTGTTGTTTTCCCTCAGAATTGACTCGCCACGCCTCTTTTTCTCCACAGTTCTGGGAGGTAATCAGCGATGAGCACGGCATCGATCCCACCGGTACCTACCATGGAGACAGCGACCTGCAGCTAGACAGGATCAGCGTCTACTATAATGAGGCCACAGGTAGGCTGCAGAGCCAGCTGGATGAAAAATAAAAAGGAAAAAAATGTGGTGATTTCATAGTTTAAGAGATTTTTGCCTGTTTTCAGGTGGGAAGTATGTGCCCCGTGCCATCCTGGTGGATCTGGAACCTGGTACGATGGATTCTGTCAGATCTGGTCCATTTGGGCAAATCTTCAGGCCGGACAATTTTGTGTTTGGTATGTAATTGGAATTTGTTGGAGTTTTTTTTGTTTTTTATCTTCAGTGTGACTTAAATAAAGTGGAACGTTCTGGTCTACAGGTCAGAGTGGAGCTGGAAACAACTGGGCTAAGGGTCACTACACAGAGGGAGCAGAGCTGGTTGATTCTGTCCTGGATGTGGTTCGGAAAGAGGCCGAAAGCTGCGATTGCCTCCAGGGCTTTCAGCTTACTCACTCGCTGGGCGGAGGTACCGGCTCTGGGATGGGCACCCTGCTGATCAGCAAGATCCGTGAGGAGTACCCCGATCGCATCATGAACACCTTCAGCGTGGTGCCTTCACCCAAAGTGTCCGACACGGTGGTAGAGCCCTACAACGCCACCCTCTCCGTCCACCAGCTGGTAGAGAACACAGACGAGACATACTGCATTGACA